TCTTCCCTATGGAGGAAAGTAAATTTCATTAGACTCTTGCAAAGCTACGAAAATAAAATTCTCAGCATTTGCAGAGCTGGTGCGCGGGCGTATTAATTTAAATTTTTTATTTCAAGGCTCCACTCCTTCTTTCTGACAACGTCACAATTGTAGCTTAAAACGTTCCCCCTATCATAATTCAACCGCGCAGTTTTGCCGAATTTAAGAGCTTCTGTTACTGTTTTTCGGAGGCACTTCTATTCTGGGGTTGCCACTTAGAGTCAATAACAATTTGAGGGGTCCACATTTTCATCCACTAATTGAATTAGAATGGAGAAAAATCCTTTTTGATTATAAACAAAACCTGACGATTCTGCAAACGGCGCAATGGAACCGAGAAAAATATGCATCCGCGTCGAAGTCACATTCAGAATTTCACGCACGTGCGAAAGCTCAGCCGCTAATGAGACACAACATCAGGCTTATCCTGTCATCAGAGGCGGCTCAAAGTTCCAACGACTATCAATAAAAGTTCCGCAAGTCTTCTGTCGGATTAAGCATACTGCGTCGTCCTCTCTTTATTCCGAATGTAAATAAGCGAAACCACTCAGACCAGACGAAGAATTTCTATCTAAAAGTGATCTATAACGCGAATGTGAAATTAGTTGATTCTATTTGGTCGACAAAAAACGTCTAAATTACTACTGGAATTCCGTGCGGATACGATGTTTTTTATGGAGACCAGCAGGATGAGGAAGTAGCTGAGACAACGGCGGGAGAAAATGAATTATGGACGATCAGATATGTTTGAGGAGCGGGCTCGCAACCTTGGACGACAAAGTCACTACCCGGTATAATGTTACGTTTAAATGTCATGTATGGATTATCGCGGAAAACATGGTATCGTGCGGCTGGGGTCGTGAGGTACCGCCGCTAATCGGAATTTTTCGGGGTTGAGGCCCGGCCTGAGTGGAGTGAGTGGGAGTTTTAATGAGGATCCAATCGAGTTAATCCTCATCGGAGAATAAGCTTCCGAATTTTGCACCGAAATGCCAAAGCGCCGCCGGGTGTGCCGTGTCGGTGGGGGCTCTTGGAAAATATTGATGTTTGAAAACACATGATGGTGGCCTTGACTGTGAACTTGATGAAATCCTGCAGCGGGTCGCAGGAAAGTTTACGGTTTGCCGGCGCTAACGGAATGACAGAGATGTTGAATTAATTTAAAATGAGGAAACCCGTTCTGTTCTGGGTCAAAAATGTGAAAAAAACTCAGAACTGTGACTTCCGAAGGTGAATTTTGACCAAACTTATACTGTTCATACGAAAGGAGGGAGGAGAATAATTGAACGTATTTCTGCCAGACAGAACTATGTGCATTAAGACATGAGCCCTGAGACCCATAAAAATATATGCATAACAGGACTCACGTCATAATGCACATAGTTTCGTTTGGTAGAAATACGTCCAATTCGAAGTCCACTTCACTCCGTAGCTTATTTCTACCACAAACAATCGAAGTAATGTGAGCTCAAAGATTGAAGGTGCTCCCACTTTACGAAAGCTTAACTAAATTGATTGCGGTGCCTCGATGCAACTATTCGTGTTCCGCGATTGTGCATGGTGCATATTAGAAAATTAAGGCGCTCCCTCTTTTCATCAGAACAGAATCTACTCTTTTCGTGGAGTAAACTCATTTTTTTACAAATCATAAATCAAATCTGTCTGCAAAGTTATCGCCGCTCTTACGGAGAGGATTTCACTCCGTATCCAAATCGTTCGAGATTCTCGTGTTCCCTCCTAATATGATAGTCTCCAGCGATAGATTTGATGCGACTCCGGTTGTGACATCTGCAGTAGTGAACATGCAATGTGTGAAGTATTCCTACACTCTTGTAGGCGCTGATATGCGCCGCGCACTGACCGACCTCACACAGCACTGTTCGATGCAATGCGTGAAGTATTCCTGCCGTCTCGTAGGCGCTGATATGCGTCTTACGCTGACCGCACTGTGTTCGGCGCGAATAGTCAACTCGCTTGCGTTCAACGGATGTGCGTGTTGCATGGAGTAAGAAATGAGCATGCTGTGCAATTTGTTTTATTATTGTACTGTTTGTTAGCCCTCGTTATTCCGGAATCAATAAATTTTTCAAAAGAAGGGGTATGCCTGTATAAAAGTCAAGTCAGAATGAATCTGTAGCATTTACGTACAGCTTCCAAAGTTTTGCTCAGGTCCTCTTGAAAGAGCCTGCTGCCGCACTAATGAAAAACGCCGTATGAGCATTCAGATGTTGCCAAATCTTCCTCAATAAAATATTTACCGTCGAGGAATGTAGTGCATACTTTACCTTTAAATTTGAAGATATTTAGAGTGAAGTGCGAACAAAACCGTTCGAAAATTTTGAAGAAAACTGTTTAAAATTTTCCCAATAAATTCGTTTTTTATTGGAGGAAATTTGGCAACGTCTAAAGACTCATACGGCGTTCTTCTTTCTCAGGGTGGCATGCCTACGTTTGGATCTTGATCTTGAACGAGTGGCTCGCAATTTTGAAGTGCGCGGAACGCTTTTTCCCCGCGGAGCTGGCAGGATTTTTGGCAAACCGCTCCGGGAAGAGGTAAAAATCGGATTTCTGATCCGAGCCGCACTTGTCATGCTCATGATGACGGACGAGCAAGGAGCAATTATCCTTCCCTTGACCCGGCAGTAGGACCACGAAAACCATAGAGAAAAAAAAGGAGGTGTTTGCATTTCGGGCATCTTGGAATTTTTCATAGAGTATCTATAGCTTTGATGACGTCATTGGGTACAGCGACGTTTTTATCCTGTCGATTTTCTTGGAAATGGTGTAATTTAAGGGAAAAAGTCATTCTATAAAAAGTGCTTGAAATTAAATAAAGAGTTGATTTAAGTAAAAAAATCGGACATTATGGTCCGTTTTTACAGCGTCAACATAACCCTCAACGAGCGTCTTGTTTACATTGATGACGTAGGTGGGTACAAATCCTCAAGATGCAAACACCTCCTTTTTTTTCTCTATGCACGAAAACGGCTCGAGGTGGGTAATCTCGGATGCGAGCAACGAATCAAATAAATTGAGGAAGCCGCATTGGATTCCCCGCCAAACGCCAGATCTTCGAAATCCTACGTCACGTCCTGCGTGGAGCGACGCACAGTGGGTCGAATCAATCAGAGAGGTCGGGCATACATTTTTTTAATGAAACTGCAAATTTTAATGTTTATTTCATCATATGTTAAATTTTAAGGAGAACTCTTGTGAGAAAATTTCACGAGGAACCCAATGGAACCACTTTTAGAACTTAAAATTTTGTAAAAATGGAGTTAAAAGCTTTTAAAGTTTCCACATTTTTTCCGACCTCTCCCATTGACTCGATCCACTGTGCAGCGAGGCAATGTGATGGAGTCGCGTCGTTTTGCAAAAATCGGCAGAATTGCGATAGCTGAAGCCTTGCGCCGTGACTTCCAACCTCGAACTTTGAGTTACGGTTTGCGGAGAGGATTCGCCGGTTGAATACTTAAGATACGATTGGCGGCAAGAATTAATAGAAATTGAATGGTCACAGAGGTTAAGTTCCCATTGCTATACTGCCGTGATAGTACTGTGATAAAATATACTGCCGAATGAAGTAAGTATTTTTAGGGGAGGATGTGCGTATTTTTTCTTGGTGTTCTCAGATAATTTAGAGTGAATCGCGAACAAAATTGTCGAGAAATGGAAGAAAAATATTCAAAATTTTTCCAGTATATTCTTTTTTTTATTAAAAATATATGGCAACGTCTGAAGGTTCATACGGCGTTTTTCCTTAACATGGCAGTGTAATCGACATTGTATGCCAGGAATAGTCAAGTGCAAATAAATTAAATCGAGATGAATTCAGTGTGTAGGATCTTTGTGCACCATAATTCCCTTTAGTATCATACAGTTGCATAAGTGCCTTTAAATTGACATGCGTTTATATACAAAAGCAATACAAAATTCCCTATTCCATTCTTTCATTATTTTGCGTAGTACTGATAATAAGTTCAAAGTCCTCCTTTTACGTCCCTTTTTCCCTAGCTGATGCCGAGTCATCTCAATTATCGAATTTAACGGGGCGGACCCGGACATTCTGCCTTCCCGTGTTCCTATTAATATCAAACTCGCAAACTTAAAATACACTTCGCTCCGGTACAATGAGCAGTGAGTTCTCCAACTTATCAAAACTGTCAAAGTAAGGAGAACCCTGCAGTTCTGATGCTAAACTTTGTTGACTCAAAATTTATACTAATATAGAAGCTTAAATATTCCTGAGAGAGCCCTAGATTACCTACTTAGGTCTCTCTTCCTCCTTCTTCTTCTTCTCATTCCACCTCCTTCCTTATACACGGAAAAAATGAATTTAGGTCTGAGACCTACCCGGGTACCTAAAATTGCTTAACCTTAAAACCATGGGGGCAGGCCCGGAGTGGGCTGTGGAGCCGGGCACAAATGGATTTAAGGTAAAGCGCAATTAAAGCTACCCAATAGGTCCCAGCCATGAAATAGTTTTTTCCATGCACTATACTAAATTTTCTTCCTTTCCTTTCCTGATCATATGAGGCATGCCTGCACATTTTTGTCCGAGCCAATGACTTCAGTTTCACTTGGATATGTCTTTATATCATCTTAGTATTTTTAAAGGATGCATAATAACACTAATTACAGAGCCTATATACTCTCATAGACTGAAGTGGTGGAATTTTAGGTACAGGCTTCATTATTTTGCCGCAAAAATGTCGTAGGCGTAATTTTTTGTTCTTTGTGTCTCATTAGAAAAGTTTTAAAGTTAATTTGCTGGAATAATGAATTTGCACCGTGAAGTTAAATTGGATTGCGTCCTAACTTGAATTTAAAATTTAATTGTGGGAAAAATATAAATTAACGAAAATTGTATTTAATGTTTTGAAAATACTTTTAATTGAAATAACTTAACAAATAAATTACACTTAACACTTTTAAAATAAATAAATTATTAAAATATTTCATTTTTCCTTTTTAACTTTAAGCATAACATTTTAACAAAAGAGGTATAAATAGTGTGCTCGCCCAGAAAGGAAGTTTCAAATGGGCACAAAATACAAAAAAGTGAATATAAAAATATTTAAGGGGGCATAGTCATTAAAAATTACTGATGAAACTGAAAAAACCTCCATAACTTTACGTCAAAAGAAAAGCTTGTTGGTTTTCAACTTAAATTACAAAGATAAATAGAAACTCAATAATTCGATACTTCTGAGCATACTAGTAATTCACCGATCTTAGTCTTTTTGCTTTAGTTCAAGCATAAATTCATCACAGACTTTCAAATTTCATAATTTCAGATTATCCTTGGTCGAATTTTTAACGCTTAACTCCCTCTTAAAAATTATTTCTATTTAATTAATTTGTATACAATAGATTCATGTTTAATATAATATGAATATTCAACCAACTTTCTCAAAATAAAATTAAGTCTGGCGGGAGACTTGAATCATTACAACCTTGATATATACCAAGTTTGACCAAAATCGTGACCTATTTGAGTGGAAATCGGTTCAAATTTACAACATCGATCAAAGCTGTAACATGATATTGCTTAGAATGGAAAAAGATAACTCGCTTTAGAAATCACAGATCAGCTCTTAATAAACACTGTTAGACACTTAATTCAGCTGTCTGGTCGAGGTCAATTAGGCAAATACTGTTCCGCGGAGAAATATTATGATCACTCAATAAAATTGGACGAAGAGGCATTCGAGTTTTAATTAAAAATAAATCTCTACGGACCAAAATATTCACCACATCAAAAACGATCAGCCTGTGGTTTGCAGCTCAATTGAGGGTCCAAGTGTCGAAATACATTAACCTCTCTCTTTTGGCGTACAAATGCAATTATAGAATATTGGAAATTATCTTCTGGATGGCCCGAAGACACGTGGGGTAGTTCAAGAAAAAGGTACCATTCGGTATGAGAATGGAGAGAACAGGTACTCATGAGTCTTGAGTCATGAGTCTTGAGTCATGAGTCATGAGTCTTGAGTCATGAGTCTTGAGTCATGAGTCTTGAATTTTGAGGGACGAGATACTTCCGTCCGCATTAGTTGTTCGATGGGTGAGATCGGAGCCAAAGTGACAAGGAGCGCACCCTGGTGGGAACGGCCGACTCTAAAACGAATCGGGGCGAGGTTTCAGGAACTTAAGGCGAGATTTTACCAATGGAAAAACTCGGTGTAAGGAACGTTGTTGAGGATCCGGGAGCCCATCTCCTTCAGGAAGAGAGACAGGGCTTCTTCGATGGCGGGTTGGAGCTCCTTCAGGATATCGGGCCAGTTTTCGTTCAGGAACTGGTTCATGTTCTCTCCTGAAACATCAAAACGCACATTGTTAGCCCACACACTATTTTAGTGCTGGAAAATTAGATATTATGAAAATATTTTACAATTTTCGGCCAATCATATGACGGAAACACTGTTGTGCCAAGGCAAATACCGTATGAGCATCAGGCGTTGTCAAACTTTCTTCGAAAAATCAAAATTTTGTGGAAAAATGTATAAATATTTCCCTTCATATCTCTTTTCGGCTTTTTCAGAGGATTCCGTTCGAAATTGGATCTAGAAAGTCTGAAAATTCCAAGGAAATATATTCATAGCTTCCTTCAAAAATTTCTGGAAGGAAATTTGGCAACACTCGAACGCTCATATGACGTTTTTCCTCAGGCACGGCAGTGTATATCTCTGTGTGAGATTAATACAATTTTTCTCCTTCCGAATTAAAATTGGTTAATTACGCTCAGCTGAACATGCCGGTAGAAATTAAAAATCAAAGGCGAAGTCTAATCTTTGCTGAAACGAGCAGGAGAGGTGAAAAGCTGACGATCCGACAGATTTGCTGAGAGTTAATTCCACCGGAGTCCAGTGTGTCAAAACATTTTTGCATCGAATATCAACAAGATCTATACAGCATTCAATTCGTTCCAGGAATTTTTTTAATGACGTATTTATTTAGATACATTAATGGTCATGACGTTAAAGGAAAATTATTTCCACCGCAGTAATCATCGATACAAACAGTTTTGAGAGGTGAATCATCGAATATCGATGTATCCCCATTTGGAGCTGTGGAAATGAATCGATTATTCAGGTGCTCGTTGCGGACGCACTGATAATCGATCATTTGCATAGATTTGAATGCCCGGTCAATCGATTCACGCCACTATGCATCGATACAGTCCTCGAGAAAATCCTCTGGAAGTTTGCACAGAAAGACAAGGAGCCAGCTAAGTGGTTTGGGATTTCCACCGAGGAAATTTCCCCGGTAATCGTGGACCCCGAAAAACGAGGAGGAGAAGAAGAAATGAGAGGTGATAACAAAAAAGGAAGGAAGACGGTAAAATCTTCAAACCTTATTATGCCGTGCTGAAGAAGAATGTTGTGGGGACATTCAAGAGTTACCAAATTCCCCTTGATGAAACGTGTTTTTTTGACAACATTCATACATATTTTTCCTTGAAATTCTCAGATATTTTAGATTCAATTGCGGACAAAATTGTCTGAAACTTTTGAAAAATAATATTCACAATTTTCCAAGTAATTTCAGTTTATATCGAAGGAAACTTGGCAACGTCTGGTGGCTCATATGGCGTTCTTCCTAAGCGTGGCAGTATTATAATATGGACTGCATTTTGCAATTTGGACCCATAAATTCCGGCCGTGTTTAAACACATCGTATGTACCATTAGTTTCCCTATGCACATAAGTGTTTTTTAAGATGAGCCAGAATTTATAGGTCCAAACTGCAAAATGCAGTCCATATGGTCTGCAAGGCAACCAGCCAAAAAGGATTGGTGCAATTTGCGGTCAAGAAAGCTTACCCAATTCTTTGTTTCCGTTGAAGAGGTTTTCCAACTTGATCTTCATTTTCTTGATGTTCAGGATCTTGAACTGAGCCTTGGTCAACTGCATGTACTTCTTGTCTCCTTTTGAGTGGCCTTTGCCTTTCAAGAAAACTTCAACTTCCGGGTCGTCTGCACAAAAATGAGGAATAACAGAATAATGAGTGGGAATTAATAACACGAACAAATAATTCGGTGATAATGGAGCGTAGTAGATCGTCTTCGGCGTTATACCGACTCATTTCCGACTCGGAAAATAATGGACCTCAAGTAATAGCTTCAGCCGTTGGTTACATCAGCGCTACGTGTTTGCTTTCAGGTACTTAATTTAACGTCCAGATCGTTGAAATCTGGAATTAATTTACAGACGTCATCGAACAGCTCCTACTATAATCAAAACCCTACGTCACAGTTTTTCACAGAATTCTACATCTATAATGAACTCAACTTAATATTCAGTGGTAAACAGGTTACTGTTATATCTATCAGTTTTACGGTATTAGGAATTTTCCTTTCTTGGAATTTTTGTTCTCAATTTCTTTTGGAAGGCTTTTTCAATTTCCTTCGGAAATCTTTTTCAATTTCCTTTGGATATCTTTTTCAATTTCCTTTGGAAATTTTTTCAATGTTTATCTCTCGAGAAAGTCAAAGATCAAATAAATATTAGGAATTTTATATATTTTGATTCAAGAAGAGTATGACACTGCAAAGATGATTCTATGTCAACCTCCTCTTTATCAAAATGACAAAATTTTCAAATATTCAATTTTTTACAGAACAAAGTTACGATGTTAACATAATAATCCTATGCACGAACTTTAATGGATTAAACCTTCAGTTGGATGCGACAGAATTTTAAAAGTTTTTATGGGAAAATTCAATAGAGCACTGAGCATTGAGTTTACGTGTCAAAACTGAAATTCAACGAGAAATTCAGAACATCAAAAATCTAGATTAATTTACCTCCAGTACCGCCATCGATCTGCAGCTTATCTAGGAGCGAGAACCGACTTCTGTTAACTTAAAACGCACTTGAAGAGTAAGGTTATAACGAGCTTTTGACGAGCAAAGGGCGGAGGGGTGGTGCACCCTACTTAATATTAGTCAGGTGGGTTTCGAAGTTTGTTTGCTGGCTAATTAATTTCCTGCCTTATCTTTGTTAAACACTTCGATTTTACGTTATTGCGCGCGGGTCACTCCATCATGCCGTTGTAATGAAAAGCGCCGATATCTTGAAAAACACCGGCTCGAAGTATTCGTCCGCGTTCCGAGATATTTCAAAAATAACGACAGGTGTTTGACCAAGGGAGTTTGGCGGGTTTGTATCAAATCGATTCGTGGCCAAACGGGCTGTAAGTTTGAAGTTCTGTTTCGTTTGATGACGCACTTTGCTATTGCAGAACATGCGATACAATTACTATCCAGAGACAAAGATATACCCTCCACTGCACTGGCCTCTTGGCGACAGGTGAAAACTTTTACTTTCGAGGATTCGAATTTTCATCGTGAAAAATTATAAGGAAGAAACAGTCATCAACCTTTTTTTCACTGTTGACCTGCCAACTTGGTGGATGATGAGCTTCGGGTGACGTGATCAGCTAAACAAATTCGCCAATCTTCGGTGTATTTGTAAAACGAAATACTCAACACGTTGCTCAACATCCACCTAATAGTCAACAGTTGAATGTTGGAGTCCTAAAAGTAAAAGCTTTCATCCATCATTGTTTAGAAAGCGGTTGGGGCGGGTCTCTCTGTCTCGAGAATTATCAGTCTGCTTAAATTTCGAAGCAAAAGTCATAAAATCGTGTTTTAGTGGTTGAGATTTCAGCCAAATGACATAAAAATTTCTCAGACGTCTTTTACACGTCGCGCAGATCACTAAAAATTACGAGGTTATTGAAACATGATAGAATTAACAGCGCAATTTTGTGAGGGCGAGAGAAACTAGAGCGTATGCCCCTTCATTTTCTCTGAATGCAACCCGCGCGTTCATTGTAAATGAAATTATATTTTATTACGGAGGCGCCACTCGACGCCTTTGGCTTTAAATTGAAATTATAGCTGCGCAATTTTAAGAAGGAACTATACATATTTTTCTATTCAGCAAGCGGCGAAATCAAAGGAGTTTTAAAAAATGCAAAGGGTTTCTCGAGGCTGAAAAAATAAAATGTAAATAGAATTTTCACCCGTCTAACTATTTTCGTTTATACTGAATTGCTCGGCACGAAATATTCCTCCATAACGGAGGATTTTCAATGCCACGATCAAAATTTGTATAATCGTATTTAAACTTTTCGCCAGCTTGTCAGTCTTTTGATCTTTTTCTACGTTGAAAGAAATGGAATTTAATCATCGTAAAAAGTCTGCATTGTAAAAAGCTAACTATCAATGTTGATGTACATCAAACGCATTAATTTCTGTCTTATACTCAGCTCGATTTAAGACGATTTAAACGCGTGGAGCAAGTTCATCGTGTTCTGCTTGATATTTTGATGAGGAAATACATATGCTGGTGCCTTGTTTCTCGTTTTTTATCGTGCTTTTTATACGGTTGACTAAAAATGCAAATTTGCATGTTGTGGTACCATATAGCCTCTTGTTTAGGAGATTTTATGAGGTCAGAAATAAATTTAGAAATGGCTGTGACTTTATCATGACATTTGCAAAATTTTATCTGAAAATCGCCGGTTAAATCCTTGCTCTCGCATGATCTATATTTCAAAATAAAATCATTGACCTCGTTTTTCAGACTTTTTAAATAAATTTCACAAAAGAACTGACAGCCTGGCTTCCTTTCAGATTAATGCAGTCCAATGACCCTCAGCTGAGCTGAAACGGGTTTCAAAGGAAACCACTTGCTTGGAGATCTGCATATCAATATTTAATATGGTCTTGATGACGTCGCGCAGAGTGGTGCAATATCGAGCGATGCTGTTACTAAAGAAAAAACCCCTATGAACATTCAAATGGTGCCAAATTTTCCCTACTGAATTGTTCATTTTTTAAGCAAGTTACGAATATATTTCTTGAGATTTTCAGATACTTTAGATTAAACTGAGAGTAAAATTATATGCAAAATTAGGAGAAAAATGTTCCCAGGTCTCACAGAACGCTCATGTTTTTCTGGAAGGAATTTGACAACGTTCAAAGGATCATACGGCGTTCTTCAGGACGGTGATGCACGACCGAGACCTTCGTGAAACCGTCTGCCGAGCATACTTCAAGAACTTCCTCGATAGCTGCAGCGAGCTCGAACCGCGAAGTTCAAGGCAATCCCGCGTCGCGGCGCTGCGGACGCTGACATGAATGAAGCGACCACTGACCCAGTTCTCCTTACGCTCTCGCACGGCTCGTAATTCATTCACAAGTCACCGGTTTTTTACCCGACGTTTGAGGCGTGTTGCACCACACCAGAGAAGCAGAATATAACTGAAAAAAGTGCCCGCGGTTTTTTGCATATTTTTTCAACGTTAAAGAAACTCCTGAGAGATTATCAACTAGCCGTTTCATTTGCAAACGATTTTCAATATGAAGTGGATTGCATTTTGCAAAAAGGAACCACTAGCATTGCAATGTTGCTAAGATTGTGCAACTTCTTTTGTCTTGGAGGAAAAACTCGATTATCCATTAATAGTTTCTATTTTACTCGCTGAAAACTGTAAATTTAAGACAAAAATTACCATCTAAATTTCATAGTTTTTCATGATTTCCGCAATTTTATTGAAAAAGATGAGGTTGCACAATCTTAGCATCATTGCAATGCTAGTGGTTCCTTTTTGCAAAATGCAATCCAAGTATGAGTATTTCATTTTTTTTTAATCAGGGAATTTTTGAATTTACGCCTCAAAGGAGCTCTAACATAACTCCATTTTTTTTGCATGGGCTTCTCTGACTGCTATACATTCAGCACTAGACTTGACATGAAGGGAGCATGGAGGCTATGCACATCGCTATTTCGCCTTCTATTTTCAAGGTAGACCAGAATACAGTCTTCGTGTAGCAATAGTTGTCTAGGTACTTGTAGAATGATACCTTGCACCGTCTACAGTGTATACGCGTCTTGCCTCGCAGAAAATTATATTTATGACGATTTCGATGCTGGCTGCTGGCTGGCACTGTTTCCCTCTTCAATCATTCATCAATCATTATGAATAAATTAAAATAATATTAACAATTCCCACTCGGATTTTTTGGGGGAAGTAGTGCTTTCCTGCAGTGCGCGTATGGAGAAACAGGCATTGCTTTTTGATAAATCAATGACACATTATAAAAATTAAAAATATGGTATTTAAAAAAAAGGATAAGACGAAGATTTGTTTAGTTCGATTGAAAACCTACATAAGGTGATGTTGCAGGGTCCTTTTCCGTTGATGGGCAAAACGAGAACTTTGCCATCTGCAGAGTACTGGCCGACAATGGTCAAAGCTCCAGGTACGTCGAACTTAGCTTGGTATGTGTACTTATCGATGTCTAAAGCTCTGTGGAAGAACAAATAAAATGTTAAACAACGAAAAAATATCAGATGAAAAAAATATCAAGAGAAAATATGGGTATCTACTTTATATTTTCCGGGTAAAAAAGGTATTTCATTGTTTTTACGAATTAAGAGGAGCTTCAAAGCTCGAGTTGCGCGAAAAATTTCTAAGTTGAGTCTTTGTCTGAATCTTTTAATTCTCTAAGATATTTAGGAATCTCACTCAGTTTACACAAATGAGTGACTTCAATGCTACATTTTGTAAAATACTGGTATTCCTTCTTAAGATTGTCTTGATGAAAATTAGGATGAGTGAAAAATGATGCGAATAGAATTACTTATACTTACGAGAATGATTTTGGCATGGCATGTTTCAAACCCCAAATTTTAAGGTTTCTGAACTTGAGATCGATGCTGACTGGACCTTTTCCTTTCCCGATGTCGAGCGAGGTCAGTTCCAATGGGTCGATGGCAGGTACTTGGTATTTCGGGATTCCTGTAACATAATTCAAAACGGTGTAAAGTTACAACCAAGTTTGAATAAAAAATCATGAAGTTTAGGCATCAATTTTTATAACCCTCTTTGACCTATTGAAAAATGAAACGTAAAGTAAAGGCATGAATTTGCTGGTTAATTTTTATCGCACATTCATGACGCGTATGCCAAAATTGCCTTCAAAATCATGAATACGCAACCTAATTACGGTTATGTAAAAATAAGACCGTCCCAATTTCAATTTTCAAGTTTCTACATTTTGATTGAACAAAGTTTAGAGTCGTATCATAATACCTTCTTTCCTTTGTTTGTCCTTTCTTTTTATTCATTATTTTCAGTCATCAGTTACCTGTTTGGGGTGGCATTCAGGGAAAACTTGACGATGAAAAATATTGAACAACTCGTGCGGGAACAAACAATTTGCTCAAGAATTAGCTATTCTACATCAATGTAGAATGTTGATTCGGAGGAAGTATTGACGTGTGAAAGAAAAAACCAATTCATTATTATAACTTGGGTTTTTTACACTAACAGGAACCCTTTTTTTAAAAGATGTAAAAAAATCAGTTGATATCGGTGCATCGATTGTTAAGATCGGACGTATTGCATGAATACATTTTATTGAGTTTTGAGCATTCAAAGTGCTTAATTAAGATTCAAAAGCGGGGAAAACATCGGCGCTTTTGCATCAGCATCCTTTCCGGTTTGAATATTTTGCATCTTTCGTCAGGAAATGGTTTTTTTCTATTTTATCATTTATTTTTTGCCTGACAGCAGAAATCTCTCCCCCTTCCCTCCTTCGGATTCTTCCGCCACGAATGAGAGGATATTTTTCATAAACTTGTGAAGACCACTTTGTCAAAGGAGAAAAAAATTAATGATACAAGGCAAAAACTCACGACGCGCTCTTAGAGCAAATAAAAAAAAAAACCTAGAACTCGTGAATTTTTGCCATTATTTACCATCACTTTTCAGTGAGGAAAATACGATTGAGCGCTGATAACATTTTAAGAATCATCCCCTTCTCACTCAAAAATACGAGGATTTTTGCGAATGAATTTCTGCTACGCCGTTTATTCGTTTTATGTCAGAAGTGCATGTCACTTGCATCAACGTCAAGTAATGCAGAGTATAATTCCGAATATATTTTCGTGCAAATTCTCGGATAGTTGCACACACAAAAACCATTGCGCATGCATCACTTATACAATCAGTACCATGGCTTCACGTCACCATTAGCTTATTCAAACAAGTTTCTCCCTGGCATCGCACATGTCTGCCGGATTGCATACCTCCACGGCGAAGTTTTCATGCATAACAGTCCGTGGATGCATTTAGTTGTTACTTGATGAACAACGTTATGCTTTTCCAACTCCACATTTCAATCTAGTGGAATATGATTGACAGGCAGCACATCCTTTCACCAGAATAGCGATCAAATGTCACACATATTTTGACGGAAGTTTTCTAAGTAGAGTTATTGATTCACCCTATCATTACTATTGACACCAGCAGAGTAACAGAAACCGGACATGAGGTGCTCGATGTTTATACGGAAAAAAGCAATGAAATACAGAAAACTCACCATATACATTGATTTTTTTCAAGATTTCAATTTTTTCTCAAATTATTAGGATGTTCTTTTGGGCGACATGACAGTTGAAATTAAGAATTATAATATTTTATGCATATTAAAAATGAGGTGCAAAAAAAACCAAGGCGTCATTTTTGAGAGTATCTCCGGGAACTTTAATGATTCAATATTGATGGTTACTTTTTTTAATGTTACCTTTGATACAAATCAGATTACCATTTTTTTTTATCATATTTCCAAAAAATAAAAATAGAGCATACGGCGAAATATCACTAGCGCCCCATTCAACCTTCGTCCCTTCCTTCTGAACGTGATTAAGGTATGTATCTTATCCCAGGGAAGGGCACTTAATTCAGGCGAACCGCTATTCTGCCGCGCTAGGTAAAAACGCCGTACAAATATCCGCGAGTTGCCAAATTTCCCCTCCTAAAATATTAATTTTTAGACGAATAATGAATATGTCTACTTGAAATTTCCTGACACTTTAGATCACAAAGCGAAAAAAAATTCTCTGAGAAAGTGGACGGAAAATTTTCCCAATTTTTCCGGAAAATTCGTATTTTACTAAAAGAAATCTGACAACGCACGAAGATTTATACCGCGTTCTTCCTCTGCACGGCAGTATACTTGAGAGGATCGTTTCAGTGGCGAGGCGTGAATTGCGATGTATCGATTGTTATGCCATTTACACCTATGGAAAAGGATCGATGAACAGGGTGTTCGCAGCAAACACCTTAATAATCGATTCTTTACCATAGGTTTAAATGGCATAACAATTAGAGTACCTTTATAGACAGAGTATGGCCATTCGTATCTTTTTACTACAGGAAAACTGTTCCGCTTTTTGATTGGTCAACGAGTTTTTAGGCTTCATGATGCTCTTAGGGCNTTTTTTTTTGCTGGTTTAGTGGCTTATATTCCGTTGGAACCTACAGCCATCGATAGACAGTATTTATTGTCCTTAGACATCATGGGATTTAAGCACATCCATGCTCCAGGCTTCCAAATTTTCAGGGATTAAGGCCGAGTGGAATCTGTTTCTGCAGATCCACTCGTCAGTTCCATGAAAATTTGTCGCCACCACCGGGATTCAGACCCGGGACCTATTGGCCTAGAGTCAGACGCGCTGACCACTAGGCCAACCTGGCCGGCAACCTCAAACTTCCTTGCTGATAACAGCCATCTTGTTTGTTTATTTACGGCCCTAAGAGCATCGTGTCAGCCTATTCGCTCGCGACCAATGAAAAACCGGAACAGAAATGGCCATACTCTGTCTATAAAGGTACTCTAATAACAATCGATACATCGCAATTCTTGCCACGCCACTGGATCGTTTCTCTTCAATGACGCAGAAGATGTGGTCAACAGGTGAATCAAGCGTGGAGGAATCACTGGTGGCGAATGAAATTTGTGCCCTGAATTCTTGTAAACATCAACCACTCTCCACGCGAGATACCAGAGTGACATGACCCATTTCCTTCCGCGAAATAGCACGCAGTTTTCCCCAGAAACGCGCGACCTGAACAATTGGACGTATTTCTATCAAACGGAACTATGTGCATTAAGACATGAGCCCTGAGACCCATAAGAATATACATATTACAGGGCTCACGTCACGATGCACATAGTTCCATTTGATAGAAATACGTCCAATTCACCCTCTCGACTCCTTCGCCACAGCATTCACTAATTAACTTAAGTGGCGAAAGCTCACGTGAGCAGGCGACCTCACCTCCGTGTACCCCTCCCACCCCTCCTTTCTGCAGAATTCATTTGCATTATTTGCACTCTCAAACGCATCGTAACCTATTTACCCCCGGTGTCTTGGGGTTTCCGTAGTTTAGTTTTACGGTGGAATTCGTTGGTGCGGTGAGGTGCGACAGTTCGCACACTTCTTCCCACAGGAACAATAATTACCTCGCGCACATTCATTATCACAAGAAGGGTTTCTTTGATTGTTTCCCCGTTCCGATGAGTAAAATATTTTTTGTGAAAATACAATTGTGTAGGAAATCAAACTAAAGTCCTTAGTTGACAATGTGCGGAATTCAGATTGAGGAGAAGCCATTTAAAATCTTAATCTGTCAAGTTAGGATTTGAAAATTGTTATTTTGACTTTAATTTTTTGTAAAGTCCCTTTGCAGACTACTTTTTCTGGTAATCTGATAGCTTTGGATAACTGATGTATGACTCATTATTTTAAGTGTAATACATGTCATTCAAATCTTACATACACGATGGACTCCTGCGTCAATCTTAAAGGATGCAACTATTGCAACATCATCGGTTACTTTGTGTTTGCTCTTAGTTGAAATGAGGCAGAACTTATTCTGCTATTAATTAAGGACCATGTTTAAAGGCTCGAAACTTCGGTGCTCCGCCTTCATTTGAAAAAGTAGGCAAAAGCAACTCTCACAGGTTACAATAGTCTCATCCTAATACATTCATTTGGGAGCACCATATTCTTGTGAGGTTCAAAGGACAATTGAAGTGCACAGTATAACAGTAAACTCAAGGGCGTTTTGTCTCTCAGTTGTTACTATTTTAACGGTGTTCGAAAATTTTGAATGGTTTATCGAAGCGAGAAGGCACTAGTGCTTGCGGGAGCCGATCCAGTCGGGCAGAAAATTCAAACTCGGTTTGCAAATGAGCCTGCGGCGTGGCGTGCTTTGCGATACATCGATTAAGCTGCCATTTAAGCGTATAGGAAATGATCGATAAATAGGGTGTTCGCAAAGAACACCTTTATAATCGATTCTTCAATATAGCTTCAGATAGGGAACTATCGATTATCGATCATTCACGCCTCGCCACTGAAATAGATAGACCGTGAACTTGGGCACCCTTTGATGTGCTTAACCTAAATGATTTGACAGCGGAAGAACAGCGGCGTCTGCCTCTCATCGGAAAAGATTAGCAGAGATTCTTTCCTCGTCTCGTCGCCTTTTCGTCTGGGATTTATCTAAAAGAAATTTTCACGATGGATTTTTTAATCGATGATATTGGACAGAAGGACCGCTTTTTCTAAGAATTTGAGGTAGGGAAAAACTCTCCGGGCCCCGCACTAATTGTTTTCCTTATTATGGAAGTTAAGCTCGGGAGTCAACACAAATCTTACTTTCAATTGAACTGATTATTTTCCAAATCACATAGGTGCCGATGGCCAATCTCTATATTGGTGGTAGAGAGGGGTTTTTTTTTTTTTTTTTTTTTTTTTTTTTTTTTTTTTAAATTTAGATCGGAAAAGCCAGGATCTTCGTGAATGGCGTTGAGTTTTGCTTGTCAGATTGGACACCAATAGAGTGATTTTGTTACTATGTCATTCGATATAATATTGGACTCAGTGGTTCAAACCAAAACAAATACCATCTACAAGTAAAAATTCTGTGCGAGTTAATCGTGTTATTTCATTACAATTTAGTCATTGACAGGTCACGAATCAATTAAGGACTCATTAAACACGAGCGAGAAATCTCGATTACACGAAACACTTCGACGTATTCTACCACCATGGTTCAAAGGACGAGAATCAGAGACAGTTCGTAGTCACTAAATCAGTCTATATATGCTGATTCTCATATTTTAAATTGTTTACCGCACAGACCAGTATGTTTTCTTACCTTTTGAAATGAGGGGTAGCGCTACTTTGACAGCGTCGATCACACATGCTTCTAGCTTAGGCTCGGCTTTCTTGCATATTTTGAAATTTTGTTTCACTGGTTTATCTGCAACATTCAGAATGGAATAAAATACATTAATCAATGTGACAATTATTAAAAGCTACAGTATTTTCACCGATGAATTTTTATATATTTATTCATTTACCCAACTCCTGTGTCCGCACGCCAGTCTGACTTTAAAAATATATTCTCGGTAACTTATTTTTCATTTAAAATGAATAAAATGATAAGTATATAAAATAGCTAAATTGCTACATAAGGACTTTACAATCCCATGTTGTAGAACCTTATGTGCCCTAATACAATGGAGACTGTAAAAATAATCCGCTGCGTTATTTCTGATTTCGAGACGATGCCTTTCTTTCATCGTATGTAAGTAACGCATCGCGAGTACCTATTGCACTGCGTGCATTGATAATGAATGTCTACTGTGTGAAGTTGATGAGAAGCAGTTGGTTAAACTGAAATATCGAAGGTATTTTCCTCAGTGTGATCGTTACAAAGTATACGTGTGTGTCGTAATTTCAGTCTTCAGTGCGTTGCGTAACTACGCAGCATATCGATGATGAAATTAGAAAAAAAGTGGTTTAGCTACGTTGCAAATTTCTGGGAAAATTTCATTCGTTTAGAGGATGACTTATAATCTGCTTATAATCGCCATTTGGAGTAATTTTGGGTTATTTATTCGACCTATAGAATTATAGACAAGGTTTTCCAAGTAATCCATGATGAAGTTCAAAAATATTATTTCTTTGAAAAAATATGCAACTATCGAATGTTTGAAACACGCCGATTAGGATATAATTCTTCTAACATATCAACCCCCCCCCCCCAAAAAAAAAACTCTCGTAGCAATTATAGATGAATTCCACAATTTCTTGTAAAATGAAGAAGAAGGCAGACTTATTTTCAGATGAAAAAAGGATAGAAATTAATTATTACCTACGAGGAAAGTTAGGTTCACTTGCAGATGCGTAGCGCTGACTAAAAGGGTTTTTTTTTCTTTCACTGCTTGACATGATGTGATAAAATGATTTAATTATTAAATTCCAAAAAAAAAATACATCGTTATTAAAACTAAACCAGTGTTAATAACGTAATTTAAAATTTTTAAAAAATTAGAGAGGATGGTTTGGATAGGAATATTAAAATGTAAAGATTCGCTTCAGTTTTATTTTAAATGTGTTTTCTTTAATTTTTGAAATTTAACAGTTTAAGAAAAAAAGGGGGAAAAAAGTATTTCTATCTATTGTGAGCTTTGGTTTGACTCTTCTAGTAAGCAGTATCTCTTATCCTGATCATATTATGACATCATAATCTTCAGGGACATTATTATGATTGACAGTGATTAACCATGAAACTGCGTTGTAGTGCAATGCAAGTATTTGCTCTTGATACATGGGCCGGATAACTGTTAGTATCTCAGCAATTTTTCAGTATTCCTCCTCCCCCCTCCCCCTCGCCGTGCAAAAGGCTGGTTTATTTTCTCCATAACCGACACGGCCTTATGTGTTAAAAGAGGATCAAGAGCGTGTTATTGAATTACTGCCATTTTTAAACTGCTCAATGCTAGGATTAATTGCAATTTATGCGACAAGTTCTAGGAGAATGTCCTTTAGCCTTCCTTGCAAAAAACCGCTCAGCTGCCGTTCATATTAAGTTCGAAGAAATGAAGGTGATCGAATAGATAAATAATTCAAATCAAAGCACATCTGACTTTGTTAAAAATGATTTGAAGAGACAATCGTTAATCAAATTGTAAGTCTTGAAAAATTATCCCTTCTTTAAATTATTAAAGTATAAGTTTAGGTATAAGTATAAAGTATAAGTAGTTAAAGTATTGCTATAAATGTAGTGAAATTAATACATTTTGTTGCCAATTTTAACTCAAAAGGCAGAAAAAGGAGGAAAAGAGAAGAAACTATAAAGTATAACTATAAAATGTCGAAACTACGATTCAAGACTTATCTAATGTACGTAAGTGCCCAGGTAGCAATAGTAACAGTTCAAAATTGCAATTTCACAACAGTTTTTACACTGTTACTTTTGTGCACTTTTTCATCGAAAAATTTGCTCTAGTACAACAGTTGAAAAACCAACGGAAAAGAGAAGTCCTTTGCGACTATAATCACTGAAAAATGTTTCATACATACTTAAAAAATACCAGTGGAAAATTTATAATTTAGTCATGTTTTCTGAAAATATAACACAAATTTAACTAGTGTTATACACCGATCGAAAAGGAAACTATTATTGCAATAAAAACATACTTAGATTTGAAATAAAACGACGGTTTAAAATTCTCAATCAAAATCACTTACTTAACAAAACTTTTTTAAAGAAAGGAAAGTAGATTAACATTTTAATAACTAAAAAAAGTTAAAAAAATTATTCTAATTTATTTTTTTTTAAAGTTGATTTCATAAAACACAGAAGTAGACCATTTTGTTTTAAAAAAGCTATTTTACAAAACATAAAGTATTATACTGTACTAATGAGAAAAATTTAATCTAAATCAATAAAAAGATAAAAAAAAAGACAATAAAAAACAAATTTAAATATCTCATTTGTTGCCATATTTTTGCAAAACACATTCTTATAAATAACCATGAAATATTAATTATTATTACATTATTTATTAAACAATATTGGTGAGAAACTATTTTTAAATCATTGTTTCCTGAAAACCGGTGTAGCTTTAATTTTTGTCGAAAAAGAATCCCTATAAAAAACTTTGATAACTATTTATCACTAACAAGGAAAATATAATTTAAATCGATAAAAAGATAAAAGTGATAGTGATAAAATGACAGTTTAAATATCTGATTTATTGCAGTTTTTCTGCAAAACATTTTATTTTAAACAGTTGTGAAATATAAATTAGTATTACATTATTTTTTTAAATACCGATTTTAATTTCCGATTGTTTTATTGTAATCGGGGTGTTTCCTTTTATTTCCGATAGAGAGCTCCGATTTATTTTGTTTTTGGATGGGTCGTTTATGGTGCCTGTCTAACCTTTGTGTGTAGTGAAAACATAAAATATATTATTTATATTCTACGACATACGTTTTTTTATCGACGGCTTCTATGTTTGCTTTGTTCGGTGCATATGAGTGGATTTTCTTCTCACATTTTTGATGACCCCCCTGTGGTTAACTGTGCCTAGACAGGGCATGGGCCTATCTATAGCGTTGATTGTAGTGTGGTGTGTCGAGTGTAGTCACATCCCTGCTGCATAGTCTTTGTTGCTCCTCCTTAGAGGAAGTATCGGTGCTCACCGTCATCGGTGTTCAAAATAGAAATATGAGGCCTGAAACTGGGGAGTTCTATAATTGATCTTTTAAAACCAAAAAATAACAGTTTAACAAAATATTAAAAACGTATAAAATTTCATATATTGACACTGTTAATTTTCAATAAAACCACAATTTTACGAGTCGTTCTATTATTAGAAATTAGTTTTTCTATGGATATTTTAAGTTTTTTTTAATACTTTACAAGAATAATTCAAAACTCGTATTCAACATTTAAATTTTTTATTTTTATTTTAAGACAAGTGTCGCTTTACACCAGTAAATTTTCCAAATGAAATTTGTTTTTCACTACTTTAATCATTGTTGATTTATGTCATTAAATTATTTTAAACTGTTATTTTTAACTTCATGAAATAGGAATATAGCGCCTGAAACTGTTGTAACTGGGGAGTACTTTAATCGATCTTTTCAACCGATATAAATTGTTTTTTTATAATATATTAATAGGAATTAAAACTCTCATTTAATAGCAATAAAACTGTTATTTCGAAGATATAATAAAAATTATTTTATAGCAGACCTTGCTACCTGGGTGGAAAATATACGCAGAAAAATAAATAAACAAAAAGCCGGCCCGCATTATATACAAGAGTGCTTCTCTGAAGCTGCAGCTTCAATTTGTTGATTAATTGGGAATCATTTATCAAAGGTATCTGCGCTTCTTCCACCTAAACGCGTTCACAACCGTTAGTGGGAAAATGCAGAATAAATTGTGTTCGCTTTCCATTCTCGAGGTACAAAGTTTCAACTTTCACTCTAACGTTGATTTAAACGCGAATAGAGGCAAAAAATTACATACTTGAGATTTTAGCGCATTTGACAAAGTCTTCTTCAAAAAAGAGCAACGTTTCAAAAGTTTCACTAACTTAAAATTTCGTAAAAATTGAATTCACAACTCCGTAAAATCACTTTAAACTTCTCCGTAGGAAGACTAAATGTAACTTCTTAACTTTAAAATGAGGGGCTTGGACAAGGCGATAAGTGCAGTTTTTTCTGTTTCAAGAAATACGTTTTTAAAGTTCCAAAATAACAAGGAGCCTCATGCCAGAAAAATAAGTCTAAATTCACTTTTTGATGTTCTGAAGTTAGATTTTAGTTGTAAATTTTTCACAAAAAATACTTTCAAAACAGTTTTAGTTGAGTTCATGAATATCACAATTTTTTTAAAACTGTACTTATGCGCCTTGTCCTCCAAGCCCCTCAAATCATTTTCCTCGAATTTACAGGTTATTTACCTTCTTCATTCACCGGAGATAAAAATTGACACTTAGGCCTTCTATGCACTCTCTCCAAATATATTTACTCTTCGAAAGGAGTGTCCTTTAAGAAACCAAAGTGGGCGACAATCTTCCATCGCGAAAAAGAAATAATATATTCAGCTGAGGACATGTTTTTCTAATCCCTCCACTCTCTCCATTTTTGCTTTCTTTTGCCTTTCGTATCGGGAAAATTTAGAGGTGTGTTGAATACCAATGAGACGCTCAAGAAGAAAATCGACGCTGGCTCCGCCCATTCGAACCGAGTTAAACAGAAAGAAACCGAGTTACATATAATTCAAACCGAAGGGAAAATGTTTTAAGTTTTATTCCTCCGTTCGACTCGTAATAATACAGATAGAGTTTAATGCCTGTTTTTAAGATTAAAATATATTTTTTTGACTTTGAATTTTTCAAAGTTAAGCTCAAAACTACTACTAGCTCATTTTCATCCAAAATATAACTTGGTTCCTTCCTGTTAATTTCGACGTATCATATGCAAATTGATAAAATCAAAAGGAACTAAGGAACACGCAAATTCTGCGCACATAGTTCCTTTTGGTTTCATTAATTTTCGCATTGTACTTTCTCGCATAAATACGTCTAATTTAGTCTATTTTATCCTAAATGCAACTTGAAAAGGTTTGCATCCTTGGCTGCCTAAAGTCTATCAAAGTAAAATTTTCGCATCTGCACAACCGCGCCTTTGGAGTCGGAAGGCCAAGAACAATCCATGATTTTTTCACCTTTGTTTTCTTAATTTTTGTCTCTCCAATTCTTCAAAATTAAGAACCGGTTGGTATTAAATACCCCCACCCCCCACCTCATGTCCCTCCTCATAGAACAGGTCTAAACAAAAATGTACAAACCATTGCACTCCACACACGCTTAACTGAAGCAATACATGTCCACTGGCATGCAGTCAGCAAGTGATTCAGCATTCTGTGATAAAACTAATAAGACAAACCGCTTTGAAACTGCAATCTCATAAGCGAAATTCAATGATTAATCAAGCTTTCTTTACCTCTGAGGTTTATTTGGTCACGAGCGATGACAATTAATTCATTAAGATCGTTGACAAATTTCAGTGTCCGTGCTTAGTAAAAGTTCCTAAGATTTCACACTATCGGTCGGGTGGAATGAGTGCGAGCGCTAAATTTTGTGCTAAAATCGTTTAATGGGCGAGTAAACAGATCCGTCCACACACTTGCGACGGTGTGAATGGCGTCGTGTGTGCAAGTATCTATTCTGAGAGGAGCTCTTTTGGATGGATAGGAGTTCTTGCACTTTTGACTGTTTATGAGAAGCACGGTTCATTATTCCCATGCGCTGTGACCATGACCGCTCTGGAGGCCGTGAAGGGTACACATATTTGAACTTGCGGCTTTCACGTCCGTAATCTAATGAGAAGTTGGATTTTGGGTGGATCAAGAATAAATAAGAGAGAAATAATCACGACGTATGCTAAATTTTCACGCTATGACATTTGTTTCCTATAGTGCCCTTTCTAGTTAACTTACTTAGTAAAAAGTTCACTTCTGAAATATTTTTTTTTTTTTTTTTTTTAATTGAATGAAATTTTTGTTTTAAGAAGAACGGAAAGAAAACACGTTAAACAACTAAATAAATAATTTTATATTTTAATTGCTAAATTCATATACTTCATTCAATAAAAAAAACATATTTTATCTCAAAAGTGAACTTTTTACTGAGTAAAGTAAGACAGTAAAAAAGTTCACTTTTGAAATATTTTTTTTTTATTGAATGAAATTGCTGTAATTTTTGTTTTAAAAAGAACGGTAAAAAAAGACGTAAAACACAGAATAAATATTAAATAAACAATTTTATATTTCAATTGCTGAATTCATATATTTTACTGTGGTTCTGATTCTTTTAAAATTATTTAACATGAGTACAACCTCAATCAAATATAATCAAGAGCACATGAAAGCTATTTTGAATGCTCATAAGATTATATGCAGGATGTTCCCACGCCATGTTACACTGAGTTAGAAACTACTCTATACTCATTATAAAAAATATGGATTGGCTATTCATAAGTCTAGTGGAAAAATAAATAAGAGTCGAATCTCTTTTTCTCAGGAGCACCGAGGTATTTCTCATTGCACTAATCGATCAAATGCCACTCACTTGAATTAGATATCGATGACCGATGGTCTCCTAGTATACTCCATTTGAGACATTGCAAGTTTGAATTATTTCTTTTCTAAACCACTCAATATTTCTTTCAATGTTCTAAGAATTCCGTTCAGTGCCTAGCAACTGAACTGCGGAGAGATAGATCAAAATGTCGTTTCATTTTTTTATTTTTTTTATTTATTTTTTTTATTTTTTTTATTTTTTTATTTTTTTTATTTTTTTTTATTTTTTTATTTTTTTTTTGTAAAAAGTAACTAAAATGTAGAAAATTGTGTAAACTGCGATGGAACTGCGCACCATCAAACCCTCTACAGCATAGTATTACTTATTCGTAACAACGCACTTCTTTATTTTTTAAAAATTTAACTACATACCTCTATGGCATCATGCAAATTTTAATGAATGTTTTCTTTTTTTTGAAAAATTTATCACCGAAATTTGGAAATTCTGTAGGAAAGATTTGAGATTCTATTTTTACAAAGCTACAACATAAATTCGTCACCCCTAGAATCCAACACCGGAAATTAATTCATGTCATGGAGGGTTAAGCCCTCTATCATCTGTATTATTCATATAGAAAAAATAAACTTGTTCATATGTGGAGCGCACTAAGCAAAAAGGAACCAGCGCGATTACAGTGTTTCCAAAATCATGCAACTTCTTCTTTTCTTCTAAAAATACTTAAAATAAGTAAAGTATAACCTAAATTTCACACAATTATTTTCCTTTAAAGTAAACAAGTTTTCGGTGGGAAACCAAAACTTTTTGCTATTCTGGGAGATCTTTTACATAATTATGAAGAAGCAACATTTTTACAACATTTGTAATCACGTTGGTTCCTTTTTGTCGAATGCGATCCATTTGAAAGTCAATGATTGAAAAAAAAAGTGAAGCAAAAGCGATTTTTTGACCGAATTTGGAACTTTTTAGCAATTCTAGAAATTTTTTCAGATAATTATGAAGAAAAAACATGTGTACAACATTGCAATTGCGCTGGTTATCCTTTTTCGTAAATGCGATTCATGCAACTCGAAGCTACTTATTTTTAGAGGTGAGGCACCGTTAAAAAAGTCCAAAATCAGGGTTGAATTTGGCGGGGAACTCACCTTTCGGAACGGGTCCGGCGACAACACCGCTTAGCACAGCACAACAAACTACAACAGCACCAACAACACTGATCGGATACATGTTTGGTCTCTGCATAGGTTGCCGGCAACGGATCAGAAAAGCCGAGGAGCAAGAAGACGGGTGAATTACTGAAAGCACCCGACGCCAACCTCGCGTTATATACTCGCGTCCTCCGCGGAAAAGGAAAACGGCGGCCAAAAGAAAAATCCTGCTCCGACGCGCCCCTCCACTAGTCCGGTTAGACCACCCGTCGTACACCAAATTCGTCACGCTTAGGATCGAGTCCTCTTAGCTAGAGAGCTTCCGAAGATCGTCCGAATTTCCGGGGATTTGATTTGATTTTCAAACTCACAAACTCAACACTCAACAAATTATCCTTAAAAGTTACGCGAATTGTTTTTCACTGAGCCTTTATTTATATAAATATTTAGGCCTGAAGAATCATTGAAAAGTTGCACGTTTATGGCAATGATCAAAACACTGATTTTTGAACGCACGTGTTTGAACTTTGTTCGAATTTGAAGTACGCGCACTCGACTAACGAAAAAAAAAAAATCGCGAGTCACGAATTTTTGGCACACTGTATGTGTCCTGTACTGTCCGTGTTTTCTGGTTTATGAATCCAGAAATTTAAATCGGAAATGTTGCGATGATCTGGAGCTTATGAGATTGGCGTCAGAAGTGCTTGATTTTTGCGAAGTGTCTGTTTTCATGGGTAGGTAAGAGTATTTATTTGAGCGATAATTTGCGTTTGATATTTGGTGGGTTCGCGGTAAATTGCATGTTACACGTATTGCCAATCCTCAATGAACGTTTTTTGATTGGGTTTATTTACCTTGTCATTACGAGATGATCGTTGTTGTCAGTTTGGCCCGAAAATACGGGTAAATAACCGGGAATCCAGAGCTACTGAGTATGTGTTGGAGTTAAACAAACTAGGAGGTTTCTGCACGAAACTGCGAATATCTCAAAGCTCTAAGGAATGATACATGGAATACTTGCCCCTACACGACAATCTAAAAATCTGAAAAGCTGCCTCAGATCTTGTGTTCTAAGTATATTGATATGGAAGGGAGAAAAATACCATGTACAATACATGATATTTTTTATTTACAGAACCGTCAAAATATATGAGGTCATACAGAACAAATACATACAAATTGAACCGTTCCTTACGGACAAGCTCAAAAATCGAGAAAATTTGCCGTTTAGTTTCTTCGAGAATAGGAAACGCCCGAAAAAAGAATTTTAAATGTAAATTTTTCAAATTTACCAACAATGATTCGGCAAGAAAATCGACAAGAAAATTTTAGAAATTTCCACGGAAAAAACTCAGGTTCAAGAAAAAACTTCAATTCCGAAACCTGAACTATTGATATTAATCATTCTTCAAATCTAAAACGATGCGATCCGCACATGCTATCATCCTTTGGGAAAAACTTCCAATGCCCCAAAAAGCCTTTGATTCAACAATTGTGAGTAAGCTAATTTCAAAATACAAATCCGAAAATTGTGTTTTGGAATGGCATCACTGTTTCGTGGCGGCATTTGAGTCGGACTTGATTCCAGTCGGATACCCGAATGAACAAAAAAGTGGTCGAAATTGTTTCACCTCCCCCTCGCACCTCTACTTCATTTCCGTTTTCCACAGCGAGCTCTCGCCGCAAATGTCTGACAACTCGGGGGATAATTTTTGCGTGTCATTACTCTTAGTAATTTATCTGCGGTTGAGGCCCGATCGAAGTGACTCTAAACTTCCTTTCTGGACAGCGCAAAACCACATTCATTCCGCGCTAAAAACAAGAATGTGTGGAAGATTTTGGAAATGGCATGCCGCGGCAAATTTCGTATCAAGAACTTAATAGAATGGGATAGAACTAAATCAACAAAACACCGAAAAAAATTGAATGCTAAGATAGTATCCTGGACATTGGCGAGGCGTGAATGATCAATTATCGATATTCTCCATTTGAAGCTGTGATAAAGTATCTATCATGAAAGTGTTCGTTGCGAACCCCCTGTTTATCGATCCTTTTCCGCAGGTCTAAGTGGCAGATTAATCGATGTACCGCAAAGCACGTTATGCTACTGATCCTGGGTGTAGAAAATGTGTCTGGTGATCCGCAGATTCTGGCCTGCTGTTAACTTTACATGCTGCTGGGGATGCAACTTCAACTGAATCGGCCATTCGTGACTTTGTTGCAGGAATTGGCCCAATGTGTCAGTGCGTTAAAGTCGCCTTCAATTTCAAATGATACCGTGCCACGCTTGAGTGTTCGAATAGTTGCATCGTACTTTTGCACGCTAAATATAGTTCGCGTTTATTTCATTGTCAGTCTTTTAAACTTGGTGACTCTGTCGTTGCGGGAATTTCCTTAGTGACTTGATGCGTGGAGTTTGCCTTCAATTTCGAGTGATACTGTGCCACGCTCGGGTGGTTGAATAGTTGCTTCACACCTTTCCACACTGAGTATAGGTCACGTTTATTTTTTGGATTATTATTCTTTGAAATCCAATGACTTTAAACCGTTGCAGGAATTGGCGTAGTGATTTGTTGCGTAAATTTCTCCTTCAATTTCGAGTGATACTGTGCCACGCTTGGGTGGTCGAATAGTTGCGTCACACTCTTGCACGCTAAATATTGTAGGTATCCTTTCATTTTTAATGTTACTTCTAGAACGCCTCACCACCACCTATGTGCCTGGCGCAACCTTAAGCATCCGGAAGACGGCCGAAAAATTATCCGTCGGTGATAAGACCATGGGCATCAGAGATGTAACAGAGATGTAACTGTAAGACCGACTACCCAAGAGTAAGATGCCGTTGCTTCGAGAATGGCATGAAGGGTCACTCGGCATGCCCCGTGCCACCCTTCGACAAATTGTAAACATCGTGATTATATGGTGCCGAAGTAATTTTTTTTTCTTTTTTTTTCATACATATCCTGGCATCTAATCAGTGAACAATTTTGTATGAATTTGATACATTTCCAAGCGACTCACAGTGAATCGAGTCAATTATAGAGAGGTCGGACATGAAATTTTTGACCAAGACTGATAATTTTGGTGTATATTTCTTCACATTTGAATTTCAAGGGGTGCTTTTAGAAGAAAATTTTACGCGGAAGCCACGCGGAATCACTTTAAGAGCATCAACGTTTTGTCTAAACGGAGTTATAAGCGTTTAAAGTTTTCAAATGTTGTCCAACTTCTTCCATTGACTCGAGCCACTGTGCGACTTATTGAGGGACTATTAAATGTGTGCAAAACTTGATCGGCGACCCTTCAAGAGCCCTAAGTTGACTTCATTTTGAAGTTTTAGAGGAAACTAATCGTTGAATTATAAATTAGACGAAACTTTAATTAGACTCAGATGCTAGATAACTAATTTTATTTCAAATTAAAATTCACAACATATGAGGGAGTTTTTGAAATGCATTTTAGGGCGTTAACCGTGCAAAGCACACAAAGTTTTTGAGAATTCTCTCGTGAAATGTTATTAAAAGCGAACCTGCGTGAAATATTTAATGTGAACCGATGAGCTGTATGTGTCTCTTCCGTCAAAAATGTTGCTTCATCATTGCCCCGCGACGCTTTTTTTTCTCGGGTACATTACAGAATCATTTGCAAATCATTTCCGCTTGAGGGTACAAGGTTCCTTTTCTTTTCCTCCAAAGCAAGTGACATTTCCCCAGATACGTACGGAATGTTTCCATATCTTTCTGATTCTGATTCACCCATTCTGAAAATTGAGTTTGTCCGCCTGCTTCTAGATTGTTGTCCTCAAGTTGTGATTTACGCGTTCACTGCGAGGAAAACTTAGCGCCGACCCTAACTAGTAGTCTGATTTGGACACGAAAGAGAATAATGAAAACCATGGGAAAATCTTAGCTACAAATAAAACACTAAAAGTAGGCCGTTTTAAGCTGTCGCACAGTGGATCAAGTCAGTTAGATAAGTCGGACGGGTCGTTTCAAATAAGCTTTCATATTCCACGTTACTTCCAATTTTTTGCATCGAGTTGATTGATTTTTTTTCCCTTCTTCTTGTTTCCTATTCAAAATTTTACCCTCTATCTGATTCGGACCTCATTCTTCCCAAAAATCTTCCATTTTTAATATTTTTTGGGCCCCAAATGTCCAAAATGTCATTACCGTAACCTGTTACTTTTCTGATTTGGTATTTTTAGCCTATCATAAAACCGAGACAAAATTGACTGATTTGACTTTCAGCTGGATTATTAGTTTCAGTATATCCTAGAGAATATTTGATCACAAGAAGAGGTTTTAAATCCAACTATTTCGGCATTATTTGAATGATTTATGCTTGTTACTGAGTTTCGTGTCATTACCGTAACCGCCGAATTTAAGAGTTTTCTTAGCCGCTAAAGGGCAGCAGCAACAGTGTTTATCATTGAGTCAACAAGTGTTCGGAAGCTGAGTGCATGGAGAGTTATTATCACATTTTGTTTCAAATTTATGAGTAATTTTGTGTTATTTACATTGAATTTTGTGTTTAAGGGTAACTTACTACTGTCATTACCGTAACTATGG